CCTCCTCCTCCTCCTCCTCCTCCTCCTCCTCCTCCTCCTCTTCTCCCTCCTCCTGTTGTGGTCGAGAGCTCCACCGTCACAGGTGTGGAAGAGGACGGGGCATCGCGGGTCGGGGCCGTGAGCTGCGAGGCTGACTGCCATGCGAACGCCGACACCTTCAGCTCGACATCCCTCCTGCCCGTTCCGTTCTGCGTCCCCATCCTACTCCTGCGTCCTTGTCTCTTCTCTCCTTCGCCTTATCGATCCCAGTGCCTTCTCAAGCAGTGTCCAACCACAAGAAATTCTCCATGTTCCCTTCCATAGTCACACATCCTCACTGAAGCAGATGGCGGCCGTGAGATTGCCGAAGCACTCCAGCGCGCTCTCCTTCACCTCCAGAAACAAAACCGGAGAATGAGAATAGAACAGGAAGTGAAGGGTGGAGGGCGGTGTGACATGAATACGCTGCAGCAGCAGGGGATTGGTGAGTGGGAGGGAGGGAGAGAGGGAGGGAGGGAGGGAGGGAAGAAGAATAAGAAGAGAGGTGAAGGTAATGTAGCGTGCGCTGGCACATTCCTTTGACAACCTACCCCTCCCGCCCATCCCTTCCCATTCGGCTGAATTCTTTTGAGTTATATCCCCCGACTGGGGAATCATAGGACTCTCGCCTCTTGGCCTTGCAACAAATACAGAGATGAAGAAGAGCCGTCCCTCGCCTTAGCGTCGCGCACATCCGTCTCAAATATTTGCAACGGCTTCATGATAGAAGGTGTTTTTTTTATCAGAGGGAGCAGGAGAATTAGGAGAGGGAGGGGGGGTCACGCTACAGTAGGCGCTCGGCCACAAGAAACCTCCGCAAGAAACCCAACCCTGAAATACGCGGTTTGTTCAGTGAAAATCCACATGTGTCGATCGAAAATCGTCAAGATCTGATTGGGAGCCCATCAAAATCCAAGAAACCCAGGGCACCCTGGCAAAATCCAACTGGTTTCTTGGCACGCGCCCCCACTGTAGGTGCGCTGGCGCCTCACCTGACATCCGATCCTATCCCTCCCATCCCTTCCCGTTGTGCCGTTTCTGTTCTCTATCCGCGCACGCGTGTCATCGCCGATCTGCGACTCCAACACCAAGATCACATCGTGCTATGCACAGTCGGCAAGGAAGGGAGCTGCGTGCGTAGGAGGAGGAGGTGGCGGAGAACAGGAGGATGAGCGGGAGGAAAAGCACGAGGACGAACAGCGAACAGCAGCAGCAGCAAGTACTGGAGTGAAAGAAGCGGGAGAAGCAGGCGGATCCTGGGGAAGTCGGAGGAGGGGAAATGAGGGGGGCAACAACGATGAAGAAAGCCTCGGATCCAGAAAAGTGGCCCGCGCTAGGTCGACAGCGTCGTCCTGAACAACGGGAGCAAAGCCACGATCCGAAAATGAGGCCCACGCTGCAACAAGAGCACCATTTTGAAGCACCGAGATCAATCGAATCAGAGGAAAGAGGAGAGTAGTACTCATATTGATTAATTGTAGGGAGAGGAGGGGCAGGAGGAGAACAGGAGGGGGAGAGGGATGAGGCGGGGGAGGAGGAAGAAGAACCTGACCAGACAAGAACGGGAAGCGTCGCTTGTGTCCACTAGGTATGTGCAGTATGCCATGTTGTTGGTCTGCCGCACAGATATGTCGATGCGTGCGTGCGTTTGCGCGTGCGCGTGCGTGCGTGGAATATGTGCATGTGTGTCCGTGCGCGGTGGTCTGCGGCACTGCTGTGTTGTGCCGTGCTGCTCTGCCCTGCTCCTGCGGTCTGCGCGAACGTATGTTGACTCTCTGTGTGCGTGCGTGTGTGTGTGTGCGTGTGTGTGTGTGCATGTGTCTGTGTGTGCGTGTGCATGTGCGTGTACCTGTGTGCGTGTGCCCATATGCGCGTGCCTCTGCGTGCGGCTGTGTGAATAAATGTTCTGCGTGTTCTGCCGTGCTCCTGCGTGTTCTGCCGTGTTCCTGTGTGGTCTGCCGTGCTCCTGTGTGTTCTGCTATGGTCCTGCTCTGCCGTGCTCTTACGTGATCTGCCGTGCTCCTTTGTGTTCTGCCGTGCTCTTGTGCGTTCTGCCGTGCTGCTGCTTGCTCCGCCGTGATCATATGTGTGTTGTGTGATCTGCCGCGCTCATGTGTGCTCTCCCATGCTCCTGTGTGTTCCTCTGTGCTCCTATGTACTCTGTGTGTTCTGCCGTGCTTCTCGTGATCCTGCGTGCTCTGCCGTGCTCCTATGTGTTCTGCCGTGTTCCTGCGTGTTCTGCCGTCAAGTATACCGTGCACCTATGTGTTCTTTCGTGTTCCTGTGTGTACTGCCGTGCTCTCGCGCGTTCTGCTGTGTTGCTGCTTATTATGCCGTGCTCCTGTGTGTTTTGTGTGTTTTGCCGTGCTCCCGTGTGTTTTGCCATGCTCCTGCGTGTTCTGCCGTGCTCCTGTGTGTTATGCCGTGCTCTGCCGTGTTCCTCCTGCTCCTGTGTTCTGCCGTGTTCCTGTGTGTTCTACTATGCTCGTGTGTGTTATGCGTGTTAAAGTTAAAGTTAAAGTTAAAGACGGGGCCTTCAAGGCACAGGGGAAAGGAAAGGTAAGCGGGGACAGGGCCAGGCGGGACCAAAGTTCCCGAGAGACGCCGAGTCCCAAGCAAAGCGAGCCACGCGCGCCTACTCACCACAGAGCAGCAGGCGCGGGCGGGAGGGCAGGCAGGCCCTCACTCACTCTCAGACTTCAGGCCGCGGCGCGCCAGACGGCGGCGGACCCTGCGGCTCACCTGGCCGTCGCTCGCCGCGGCGCCCGCGGCTGCGCGCTCCTCCTCGGTGGTCGCTCACGCCGAAGAGCCCAGCACTCGTCGGGCCTGGTCGCTGCTGGGGCAGGCTGACAGCCGCAGCCTCCGCCGCCTGCGCCGCCGCAGGAGCCGCTGGGCCGCTGCCAGAGCTGCTGGCCGCAGCTGAGGCCCCGCCTGCAGGCTCCGCTTCCATGCCGAGCCACTCCAGGTAGCGCTCCTGGGCGTGTCCTGGCACTGGCCCTTGCGAGCGCAAGGCAGGGATGCCCTCTCCCATCACTCTCTGCTTGTCCGCTCGCGGCCTGCCTCCAGGATGGAGCCCTCGCTCCACAGGCTGCGCTGGTTCCTGCCTGACTTGTTGGTCAGGTAGCTGGGCCCTGGACACTGCACCTTCAGGCGAGACTTGGCGCCCGCGCGGATGCCCAGCACCTTGTAGGCGCCGCACTTGGAGCAGGCCACGATCTCCCGGGCGCCCTCGCCTTCGCCCGCGCAGGCGCGGCTGAGCGCGCGCCCCAGGATGCTGAAGGCGACAGCGGTGGCCGAGAGGGCGGCCGCGCTGCTCCCCGTCGAGCGGCCGCTCTCCAGGCGTGGCCGCTTGGCAGGAGCGCCGACGCTGAGGGCTTCTCCAGCCAGCGGGGGCTCCACAGCCGCAGCGGCCTGCACCTGGCGGCGCTCGCCAGCAGGAGGGAGCCCTTCGCTACTTTTGGCCGAGCCATCGAGGTACAGCTTGCCGTTGAGCCTGCCGTCGACTAGCTTGCGAAACCTCCAGACACGCATCGTCCAGTGTGTGTTGGAGATGTAGACACCTCGCGCGTGCTGCCCCCTCACGCACAGCTCGATTCCTGGCCCGAGCAGCTGTCCGATGGCGCCCCCGAACAATAGCCGAAGCAACAGGGGGCCGCTGCTGAGCTCCCGCCTCTCATGGCGGTTGGAGGCCTGCCGAGCATCGGAGCTTGCCTCAACGCTCATCGCCCGCGGCTCGAGGAACATGGGATCGCACTCGTCACCGAGGTCCGCGACCATACTCCGCTCCGACTCGATGTACCAGCCGGACCGCTCCAGGGCCCGCACCACCGCGTCGGTGGGCGAGACGCAGCGCACCCCAGTGGCGGCCCTAGCGCGCCTGGCTGCTGCAGCCTCCAGCCCCCGAGCACACGTCCTGAGTGGCAGCTCGGCTGGCTGCTGCAGGTCAGCAATCACCGCAGTCGCCTCGGGATGCCCAGGTACGCCTGCTTGGCCAATGAGGTCGCTCCACTCGCTAGTGCCGAACTCGAGGGCCCCGACCTCGTTCTCCTCAGCGCTCTGGGGCATGAGGACAATCCAGGGCCCTGCGGCGTGCCCCAGTTAACTGGGCGGGTCGCTGACGTCTATGCCGTGGAACTCCACCAAGGCGCTCTCGACGACCTGGACCCTCTGGCAGGCTGCCTCCTGGAGGGCGCTTGGGAGGGACCCCACTTCCCAGCACCAGCGGCGGGTCTCGACAGGCGCCGTGGCGTGGCCAGGCACCGGCGGGGCCAGCCCGCTCCCGAGGCTGCGGGGCCGCTTGCCTCCCCGGCGGGCTGCCTCGGCGCGGCCGCACACATGCTGGCGCAGGCCCGCCGCACTGGCCTCACTGGGCACTCGTTGGCCCTGGCTGCGCACCTCCGACGCGGCCCCCAGCGGCGCGGCCAGCAGGACGAGCAGCCAGAGGAGCCAGGCCCGCTGCCTCTGCAGCCAGCTCCCGCTTGCATACCTGGGCCACCGTCGGCCACTCGCCACGCGCGTTGCCACGCCGCTCGGCTTGGCCTCGCTCCGCGGCTGGCTGTGGCTGCCAGGGGCCGCCGCTGCCTGCGAGATCGCCATCGTCGCTGCTGATCTCCTCCATGGTCGCTCGCTTGGGGGCCACATGGGGCCCCCGTAAGCTGCGCACGCACCGCCTCCATCTGGGCGCGAATGGCTGCCCAGGCCACCTCGAAGTTGCTGGAGCCCCAGGCCTCGGGCAACTTCTCCAGCTGCATGAGGAGCCCTGGCACCTGGCTGGCCCCTGCCCACTCGGCTGCGCGCTGGCGGTGCAGCGCCTCAGCCTCCTCGCGGGCCGCCTCCTCGAGCACCTGGAGCGCACGGCTCGCCTCCTCAACCTCCGCGTCGAGCTCCGCGAGCTCCTCTTGGGCCCTCTGGAGCTGGGCCTCGACGAGGTTACGCGTCGCCTGCTTCTGCACGAGCTCCTGGCGGGTTGCACGGAGCCGCTTCTCACCCTTGCCGATGGCGTTCGCCTCCCTGTGGAGCCGCGCCGCCCGCGGCAGGGAGGAGGCCTTCTGCTCTGCCGCCTTCTGGGCCCTGACCAGCTCGGCGCGCTTCGCCCCCAGTCGGCCGGCCACGACGTCGGTGAAGCAGCCGCCCACGCCGTCAGGCGGCTCGGCCTGCAGCGCCTCGAGCTGCTCGACTGCCGCCTGGAGCCTCTCGATCGCCGCGGCGCCTCCACCGCTGGGCGCCCCACTCGCTGCCGACGCCGAGGTCTGAGACATGGCGGAGGCTGCCCGCGAGGCCGCGCTGCGGGCCTGCCTCTGGGCACGGCGCCCACGTGGCTGATCCACCCATCCGTCCTTGTCTGCCTTGGGCCT